GCCCCAAGGGCCCGGCCCCAACCGTGTGTCCCTGACACCTTCGGGGTGGCACCCAGCAGAGTTGGGCTCCCAGCACCCCATTGTCCCCCATTGGCACGGCAGGGACGGATGGGTGCTCGTCCCTCCGGGTTTGGGGGAAGGGGTGCGTGGGGGGAGAGCACAGCCCGTTTTGGGAGCTCTGTGGGCTGCGTTTGTGTCTCAGCATCTCTCCCTGCCACCCGGGGAGGTAGGAGCTGAATTAATCGCGATCAATTAGTGCTGCTTGCAGTCACCGGTCCCTCCCTGCGCCAGCTTTGTGCCGGCACGGGGGGCCGGGGAGGGGGGGGGGGACCCTCCACACCCCACGTTCGCCCCATGGTTGGGGACAGGGGACACGTGGGGACAGCACAGCGAGCCGTGGGGACGCTTTGGAACGCGGCCACGGGTGCTCTTGGAGGGGGCGGCGATGCGTGGGGACGTGTGGGTCCCTCACAGCCCCACTGCTGCCAGCCCCACAGCGGGGCGGCGGGGGTCCGGATCCTGCAGTATACTGCAGCAAACGCCCTGCAATCTGCATCCGAATGAGTCCCACCTTCCTTCCCCCGCAACGTGCTGCCCTGGGCTACAGCTAATCTATTGTGCGCTGGGCTGCAGCCAGCACAAGCTGCAATACAGTAAATCCTTCTGCAGTATCCTGCAAGGGGACCGAGCCCAGCCGCAGCCGCTGCTCCTCCCAGACAAAGCCAGGGGCCCACGCAGGGCCGGGGCGCAGCGCTGTGCCCTCACCAGGGATGGGGACGAGGGGTGGCGTTGGGTGCCATCATGCTGGTGAGGACTCGGCCACCTCCGTCGGGGTGGGAAGTTCCCCAGGGACTTTTCGAGGGACTTTTGGCCCTGTGGGATGTCCCCGCGTGGCTGCAGCCCCCCTGTGGTGTAATGCAGGGCTGGGTGTTCCCGCTCTGTGCCTCAGTTTCCCCACCGGGATGGGCTCCCCGTGCTGCTCGCCCTCCTCCTGCCCCGTGCCCGTGGCTTTGGTGCGGGTTTTGCCGTCGGTGCCCGTGGTGCTGTTGTTGTTACTGGGATGGTGTGGGGCTCTGCGGCTGAGCCGGACCCGTCTTTGGAGAGCGAGGCATCCTTCAAAGGGAAGGCGCTCCGTCACCGCCCCACAGCAGCTGCGTTCTCCTCAATTAGAAGAGGTAATGAAGCAATTTATGGGCATCTACAAAGTGATGTGTGAGTGACAGGCTGTGTACGATCCGCGCCTGGGCTCTGCCGGCAAGTTGCGTTCTTCCAATTTTAATGGAATGCTCCCAGTGAGGGGGGGGGGNNNAGGTGTGTGAGATGTGATGCTCAGAGCCCCTCGGGATGAGGAGCAGAGTGCTCGGTTCCCATCCTTGGGGGGGCTCAGCCCCATGGCACGACCCTAACCTTGACCCTGACCCCGTGCCACCCCTCTGTCCCAGTCCCTGGGTGGGGTGGCACTGGGACATGGGGCCCTGCGCAGGCATTGTGTGCACTGGGGGTTCCTTATGTACCCAGGCACAGCTCAGGAGCATCACCCCACTCCCTGCCTCAGTTTCCCCCCCCCCACAAACACACAAACACCCCAGCCCTGCGCCCAGCCCTCCACTTGCAGTGCTGATGCTCTGATTTTACAGGGACGAGCCACCTTAATGCTGAGAGGGCTCAAAAAGTGATCATCATAATCATCATCATCAAAGGGTTAATTGCATTTCAGGGTCACCTGCTGCGCTCAGAGTCCGGCCCAGAGGAGCACACCTGGGGGGTGGGCAGCTGGGCCTTGGGGGGGGTGGGGGTCCCCATGCATTGGGTGCTGCCTGGGTGCCCAGCAGGGTGCAGGTGCTGTGCACTGGGTGGGCTCAATGCCACGCGTGCAGGGAGGGAGGGGGCACCTCTGTGTGCGTGCATACCTGTGTGCAGCCGTGTGTGCACGTTTGTGTACCTGTGTGTGCACCTGCGTGCCTGGGTGTGCACCTGTCCTCGTGCCACACGCAGCCCCGCTGCTGTCCCCGTGCCTCCCATTTCCAGCTCGGCCCCACGCTGCCCCACATCTCCCAGGATACGGGACCCACCGCCGGGAGCTTCCGCTCCTCTGTGCCTCCAAAAGACAAAAAAAAAAAGAAAAAAGAAAAACCTTCAGAGAAAAAAAATAAAAAGAAGAAACACCCACCCCGCCACCAGCGCGGCCGTAAATCCTGCCCGGCCCTCTGCCTTTCTTGTCTAGCCAGTTTCTAAAATTGGCCGAGGGAGGCAACTGGCGGCTCCCCCCACCCCCCCATCCCCGTTATGGACCCCCGGCCCCACCGGGGCTGCACACACCTGGTTGCTCCCCGTGGGGCTGCGGGGGGGCGGCGGGGTGACCCCGCACACCTGGCTCCCCACCTCCCCCCCGTGGAGCCGAGCGCTCGGGGGTCCGCGGTGCCGCGGGGCGTGCGGGTGGGTGCGGGTGGGTGCGGGTGTCCCACCGCCCTCTGGGTGCCCCCCGGCCCCTCGCGCCCCCCCCCCCTCGTGCTGCGGGCAGCCCCCGGGCCCGGTGCTGGGGGACATCGGCTGTGCCGCCCGAGCCTCGGCACGGGCACGCGTCCATCTGGCGCCTTCCAAATGTTGCTGGCCTCGCAGCATCCCGGCCCCGCTCGGCGTTAACCCGCAGCGCTCCGCGGCCCCGCAGCTGCATGGGGGAGATGGGGAAGGGGGGGGGGGGGGGGGGGGGGGGGGGGGGGGGGAGGTGAGAGGGAGTAGGGGGGAGTTTTGTCCCCAAAGCCCCCGCTGAAGCTGCGGGGGTTTTGCGAAGGTGGCACGGTGTGATTTGACCCGGCGTGGCCGGGCGCAGGGCAGGGACTGTGAGTCATGCTGGGCTATAAGCGGGAGACCGAGGGGGGGGGTGGGGGGCACGGGCGGCACGCGGGGCGGGGGGCACGCGGAGCTGCGTGGCACCGGGGATGGCACCGCGTGGGGTCACGCCTGCGGAACCCCGGCCGCAGCACCCGGCACCCAAAGGCCGGGGGTTGGGGTGTCCCCATCACCCCCCCATTGGGCAGGGGGCCGAGGGGGGGTCGGGAGGGGGGGGGGGCCGGGCCGGCTGCTGCCTCCCGCGCCGGCTCAGCGGGGCGGGGGAACAAAGCTGGCACCGAGGGAAGCGGCTAAATTTAGCCCGTTTCCCTGCGAGCGCTGAACCGCGGCGCTCGGCTCCAGCCGGCCGAGGTGCCACCGTCGCTGCCGTCCATCTGTCGAGAGCCACACGTCCCCAGACCCCCCCCAACAACACCCCTCGGAACCCATCCCCCGCCCCAGCACGGCTCCCCCCGGGCTGGGGAGGGGAGCGGGACCCCTGTAGGATGAGGGGTGGGGGGCAGAAGGATGGGGCGTGAGGAGCGCTGCGCCCGGGCTGGGGGATGCCGTCGGGGTTTGGCCATCGGGGAGGGGTCCTGGGACTCCCGGAGGAGAAGGGCTGTGTCCCCACGGCTGTGTCCCCACGGCTGTGTCCCTATGGCTGTGTCCCCACGGCTGCATCCCCCCTGTCCTGTGTCACCCCAGCAGTGTGGGCTGTGCCATCTGTGCCCGCGGGCTCCCCGCCTCCCCTCCAGCCCCAGGATCTCGGAGATGTTTTGGCACAGGGATTTTCCCACCGTGCCTTGCAGCAGCGGGGTGTGGTTGGGGGCTGCCAGCGGCCGCAGGTACCCAGCACTTATGTCCTATGGGTCCCAGAGCCCCCCCCAAATTCTCGAGCCCCCCGGGATGCCTCGTGCAGGGCTTCCCCCTGTCCCATCCCGCAGCTCCATGCTGCCTGTGCCCCCCAGCAGCCAAACCCTTTATGGTGGTTCCCTCTCCCTCCCACAGCATCACTGGTCCCGTGATGGGGGGAGCATTGCCTGCCAGCCCCCTGCCTTGGGGGTGCCCCAAAAAACCTTTCTGCTCTGGTGCCCTACAGAAATGGGGATGGGCAGTGGAGCAGCTCCCTGGACCCGTTACCTAAGATGGAACGCAGGCACCATCTGCTCTGGCTCCTAATTACCAATGGAGGGGGTGAGGCTGAGGTGGGGGGGGAGTGGGAATGAACGTCATTGCGTGGCCATAGGAGCACCGACCCCCCAGCACCCCCAGTCCGAACCCATCACTGGTGGCACTGGGGATGCTCTGTGGGGTTATGGGGTGTGGGAGCCATGCACTCTGGGGACGGGGCTGTGATGGCGTTGGGGTTGGAGTGGGGTGAAGTGGGGTCTGCCCGACCCCCCCGTGGTGCTGGGTGGGGGGGGGGGCTGGCCAGGGAACACGGAAACCCTCAGCAAGCGCCTGCCAGGAAGCTGTCACTGGAGGGGATTTTCCATTGGTGTCAGCAGGAGCAGGATGGGCTGGGGGGGGATTTGCAGGGCGGGGGGGTCCGGGTGCGTGTGAGAGAGCAGTGTGAGTGTGAGAGCGTGCGAGGGATGGGGGCAAAAGGGGGGGGGGGACACATAGGATGGGCACCCCCATGGTGTGTGTGCAAGGGGGGAGAGCCCCTGTGTGTGTGTGTGTGTGTGTGTGTGTGTGTGCAAGGGAGAGGCAGCGCCCCAGGGCTGTGCAGGGTGTGCGTGTGTGCAAGAGTCTGCGAGTGCAATGGGGGGGGGCACATCCCCAGAGCCCCCCACATCTGTGTGCGTGGGGCAGACGTGACCCCCAGCGCACAAAGCGTGTCCCCGTGTCCCTCTGGGATGGGGGGATGGAGGGGAGGGGGGGGGGTGCATTTGGGGCCAGCGCAGCCCACCCCGCTGGGAGGTGTGGGGCCGCCGCGTCCCCATCTGTGTGGCGGTCCCCTCCCGTCTCTCGGTGGCATCTCCGGCCCCACCCCGACATCTGGGTGGCCTCAGAGCCGGGCAGCAGCCCACGTCCGCGTCCTGCGGGGCCGCAGCGCTGCCAACAGAGCCCTTCTGGGAGGGTCCGGGCGCCGGCAGCCCCCGGCGGGGGGCGGTGGGGGGCGGGGGCGACAGGAGGGACGCAGCCCCCCCC